AAACTCGAGTCAATTCCTAATTTCGCCTAAATATTACAGAAAGCACAATATTATATTTTCACATATTGTAATCCCTCTCTTACCCCCAACCCAACCCACCCCCAACCCTCAAATGCACATGCATCAAACTGATTTTTATAGTATAACTTCCTCCGTTTCAAGTTAGATGAGGTAGTTTGACCTAATATGAAGAATTTAAAGTTGAATTATTTTCAATTTAGAAATGAGTTATTTATTTTGGGACAGATTAAAAAGTAAAATACATCATCTAATTTGAAACGGGAAGTACTAAATATGATACATTGGACAATGACATTTTAAAACAGTTGGCCAGTCAAGCGGTCATTTATATAAAGTAAAAATCTTTGACCAAAATAAATTAAGTGGGACTACTTCTCAGCTCTTAATTTCGCTTGGGTAACTGAATCTATATATACTAATTACTCCGTCCCTAATCTTACCTAAAAACCAGGCGTTAATGCTCTTAAAAGAGCGTCAAAACTCATTATTGAGTTTTTCTCAACTTCTGTTTTATTTAGAATGAAAAGAAAAATACAGGGAAAAAATTTAACTAATTAATTTTGTTAATATTCTGTTTCTTTAAATTAACTTATTTTTGAAGGTGGATTATGGCGTAGGACTTCATAGTTTTGAACACTGTTGGTAATTGTCAAGAGAAAATCAATTATAGGTTAACATTATAAGGATTACAGTAAAAGAGTGAAAGGAGAATCTGGAAATACAGCTAAGTTCAGAGCAAAGTTAAAAATGGGGGGAAAAATACGAGTTGGAATGCATGCTTAATCATATTAGTGGAGTATTTTCTTTCCCAATGAGATAAGAGAGGAATGTACTGCATCCCTTTTTTCGTGAGCTCCATCATCTATTAAATGCAGAAGTAAATTCATCAAATGATATCATTTGTTTTCAGTTTGGTCTTGTCCTTTTTTCTTGGACTTCAATGTGAAAGAACATTATTATTATTATAGAGACGAATTCAAGATTTAAGCTCTATATATTGTGAGGTGGATTCGGAATTTAAATTTTGTGTGTTCAACTTTTAAGTTTCTTAATTAGCCTTGAACTAATTATATTTTTAAGTCTGAGATTTATTGTAATTTTAGTGAATTTTTACGTATAAATTTATATTTAAGCATTAGGCTTATATGAACCTGGAAATTATAAGCTCCATCCCCCTGCGTTGTTTAACAAGAGTTCTGGCATCAAGTGAGAGGAGAAGCAAATTGGCCTACACATTTATAAAAGTATAAGCTTTTGTACGTGAGGGAAAACGTGAGTGGGGTGGGGTCTGCGCATATATAATGCCAAGCTCCTTTTTGGTACAGTATAATGACCAAAATACATGGGAATTGAAGTTCAGCTTCTGCTTCCTTATGGAAATAAAGGATGCATGCGTAATGTCATGGGCTGCTTTCCAGACACGCCCCAAAGAACATCAGGAAGGCATTGCGTAACAGTAAGGAGGTTTCTATCTCGTGAATCGAAGTGGCAAACGGATGGGTCGAGTTGGATATGGTTCGGATCAAAAACTGGTAATGAAAAACGGATGAATTATTCAATCCGATCCATATTTAATACGGATTAAAAACGGGTTAACCGGCGGATAATATGGTTACCCATATTATCCATGACTTCTTGCATATGATCACTTTTGGGAGAATTTTAGTCTCCCTAACTTGAGGAACTCCCAATTTGAGGCTTTACAAATGTAAAAGTTAGACTCATTGGTTATCCATTTTCTAAATGGATAACATGGTTTTTATTCATATTTGACCCGTGGATAATATAGGTGGTTAACGGTTTTCTTTTAATCATTTTGTCACCCATATTCGTGAATAACAAGTACTACATAGTCTCTGTAGCCTATAATATGTACTGTACCTCGAACTAAATTATTGAATCAAATTTAATGTCCATATAAATGTCAAATACGTACGCGATTTCTCAGAGTAAAAGCTATCTCTGTTAAGTAAATATTGATTTCTCAAATTATATAGGCCGGAAGCAACCATGAACCGCATCATCATTATATTGCATCATGATTTTTATCGGGGTATTATCACTTTTAGCCCACACCAGTAGCTATTTATATTCGGTAGTCAAAAAAATATATAAATTTGTATAATTTTTGTATATATATACATTCTGTATGTTATATACAAAAACTATACAAAATATATATTTTTTGACTATTATTTTGAGGACGACTATACAGTGTCATTATCCCATTTTTACTAGAAATAAGCTGATTTCTCAAAGTCCGGGTAAGAGATCATATTCTAAGTCGAGAGAATCATATTAGCGAGTCAAAGTCAGTTTGTTTGGTCGCACCAGCATTACCAAGAAAAGGTAAAAACAAACGCAAGAGATTTATTTCTCAGAGTATAAGCATTCTCTGTCAAGTAAATATCGATTTTCTTAATCTTGAACATTGAACCTGCAAACACTCTTTATCAAAGCCTTCTTCATGGAATTCCCTATTTAGCTAATTGAATTTTCTAGCATTCCATGAGAGGAATTGTGATAGAGTACAGCCAGGTTGATTCTTTAGTAATTATTAATCACTTCCACAAAATTTGAAGGAAAAACTAAAGAATTTATTCTGCGTCTTCCCTAGGAATGGTGTGTGATCTTGTAAAGAATCACACCTTACAAGCAACTTTGGGTTTTGATCTTTGTGAAACAATTATAAGGCACATATGATATGCACGTACTTCTTTTTTGATTCCAGATAAAAGTTAAACAAAAATAAAAAATGAGTAATACTTCATGAATTGATACATCAACCAACATGTAAAGTAGCAATTGTTTCGTAGTAAGCTGACTATGATCACCACAAGAAGTCTACGTATTTGCATTCTCATTAAACTGGAATTGATTAAACGCGGACTTCAACTGAAATTCCTCATACAAAGGACAGAGAAGAATTCGATCATAACTAAGTAAATTCATCAAAGAAAGCAAAGCAAAGAGGAACTACAAAGTTCAACAATTATACATAGTCAAATCAGGAAGGTGGTTGATTGACGTCGCTTGCTCGTTCTGTGCAAGTGACACGAGGTCGCAAACTTGTAGAATGAACAATTTATTCACCACTAGCACCAACAGTTTGCGCTGCACAACTCGCGTGTGCATTCTTCAACTTCTAAATCCCATAAGAGTTTATGCCGACAGCCCCAGAATGCAGCAAGAACGTAATGGGCATAAGAAATTCAGAGATATTTACAACCAGGGTATTCACCGAAGCTCAAGCAAGCAAACACATTCAATATGAGGTGTGTGTGGAAACATGTCAACTGGTTGTAAGCTACTCAGCCTGTAATGGCCTTCTATATTCTGCTCTGGCTGCATTTGGAAAATGTAATGGACTTTAGCAAACTGAATTGTAAATTCTCGTGGGATTAATATGATAACTCAAATACTCACCACACCATAACAGAGGTAATTAAGATCACGAGCACAGGTGGCAGGATTACATGATACATAAACAATGCGTGTTGCCTTTAACTTTAGCAAAAAATTGATCAATTTGATGTGCATACCAGGGCGATTAGGATCTGCAGTTATGACCAAAAAACGAATGTAAGCAATTCCATGAATCAAGCACTACCCAAAAGCTGCACCACACACACCAAGATCACAGCAATTCCTATCCATTAGAAAAACTTTGCAAACCATCAGCGATGAGTTGCTCAATAACTCTATTTTTGGACGCAGTTGGGTAATTCCACAGTCAATTAAAGAAGACTATGAATGCTGATGCTCATAGAGAGTGATAAAGCCATCAAAAAGATCTAGATAATGATCCCAGAGAGACCACAGGCGATTTGATAGGATCTCAACCCAAACTACTCACTAAAAGCTAGATGTGTAGCTGGACGAATCTAACCCCTTAAATAGTACTGATCCTTTCAAGGACTTTGTTAGCTCCCTGATCTTAGCATAATTCTCTCATGTGGAGCTAAGTCTCTCTTTGTACCTATTTCATCTTCTTGATGCCTTTAATGAAATATCTTACTTCATCAAATGAAAAAGAGTTGCTCAGGAACAAGTAATCTTCAAGTAGATTAAGTACTAAATACTGAACTCAGCAGCCATTTACTGAAAACAGTAAAAATACAACAGCAAAGATCTCGTTCAAGAATTGCAAATATCATCTACCACAGGAAACAACTTCTCTGTGGTTGAGATGTCGAAATAGGGGATAGCTTCACAAATTCATTGTTCGATTTCAATCTTTTCTTCTGAAGGGGAGTAGGGGACACGAATATAGAACTAATGCCAAAGAGCTCGGCCAACTTACAAGAGACTTCCTGATGCAACATGGCAGTGACAATTTTTCCTTTCTCAACAAATTTATCACTTCCTAAGTACATTAATCATTTCATATGAATCCTTTTGTACGAATACAACTACTGATCTTACAGTATAAGGATTGCTGACCACACACACACCCCACCCCCCCCCCCCCCCAAAACACAAATTTAATCTTTTCCTCTCAAAGGGGACACGCGTAGAGAGCCATCCTAAAGAGGTTGGCCAACTTACAAAATACAGCTAGTCTCAAATGAAATAAATTATCCATAAAAAACATGAACGAACCTGTGATGACAATATCCGGCGTAGGCAAGTTGCTGGCGAAGTTCAAATCAATTTTATTCAGATCTCCTTCGATAAAAGTTGCATTATCAATGCAATTTAACTTGGCATTCTGACGTGCATCAGAGACAGCTTGAGCAACTACTTCAAAACCATAAACATGCTTCACCCTGCAAATTGAAATAGTAGTAATATCATATAAGCAAAATCATGAACTTGCATCAGGGGTGAGATTTATTACCTTTTGGCCAGTGTAAGGCCAATGGTTCCTGTCCCACAAAATAAGTCAAGAACAATTTCAGAGCCATCTCCTTTAAGAAAGGCGCAATCCTCAATTAGTTTATAGAGAATCTCTGCCTGAAAAGTGCAAGAGTTTTTATTTAGCACCAAATTTATCATAAGATGGAAAGTTGAACAGGGTCCGGAAGTGAACTAGAAAAAAAATCAAAGATCTGGTCCCTTCCATTTCTTTACCAAATACCTGGTGTGTATTTGTCTGAAAGAAAGAGTTAGCTGATATTTGGAAAGTAAGCCCTCTTAGAATCTCTGTAATGGTAGATTTTCCATACAATGTATATTCCTTCTCCCCAACGGATGTGTTGCCGATAGAAGTGTTCACATTGTTAACAATGCTTACCTGTTAGACATCAAAAGAGCAAAACTGAGAAATATCAAAAAAGTTGATGAGAGAATTTTTGTGGAAATCTACAGTGACCGAATGAAAGGTAATGTTGTGGAATTAGAAGGCTACAAATCATCTGAAAAGACACAACCAGTCAACATGTAGAGGATTGAGTTGATTAAAAAATTGACTTAGGAGGCCCGGATTTGGTTCAGGATTAAAAGCAATTTACTTGTCAAGAAATATGACTCTCAAACTAAGAAGTTAATTTTTGGAATTTCTTCATCCTAATAGACAAAAGAACAAAATTATCTGCAATTATGTTAACCAACCACTTCAGGAATAGCTGCGATTTTCTCAACAATGGGCCTCAAGCATTCAGGATTGTAAGAAGAAGTCACAAAATTAACCATAAGCTCAGGAAGACCAGTTTCAACATTCCTGCAAGCAAGATTGACACAGTGAAAGACTCTTGTTAGGTGTAAGGTACAGCATCCAAAAGATAATAACTAACTCCAAATACAGTACAACAAAGACCAAGCAACTTATCCTTGCAATTTAGGGAAGAAGCTAAAATTTAAAGAAAATACTTGTTCAGATCACAAACATAACCTGGAACTAAGCACCAAAAAGTAACGTCTCCTAATTTAGAGAACCCCTAATTTGACCTGTAAGACAAATATTGGTAATAGAATGAAACAAATCCAATTGGAGCGAAATGGTAACTGATGATTCATACAGCTGATACCCTAGTTCAGGATTGAAATCTCGTTGTTGTAGATTATTTTTATTCATACTTAGCTGCTCAAAGATTACTACTACTCCCATGCCACCCCAGGCACCCCAACTAACCCACCCCCAGAAAAAGGAAAGTGATGCTTAGGTCTCATTTGTTTGCACTTAATGGAGGTCTGAATCTTAATCATTCAGATCTCAGACATTAAGTGTGTTTGTTTTTAAAGTCTGAATCTTAATTATTCAGATCTTAATCATTAAGTATGTGTGTGTTTTACCTCACAACCACTTAATGGGTCTGAATACGTCTGTATGATTAAGATCTATAACAGAGACTTAATTTCATTAAGATGCTATCGCATATTTATTATTAACTGCCGCCACCGCCTACCATTATCAATTATCACCATGCCACCACCACCACCACGCCACCATCATCCTCCACCATTATCGACCATCACCATCCACTATCCCCACAACTCCGACCACCATCATTCTCACTTACAATTAACACACATCCACCTCAACTACCACAACTGACCACCCCATCATCGTCAACAACCACAGCCGGCATTGCCCATCATTATAACCTACTACCACTAACCCACCACTTTCCTCAGTCACAACTAGTACCACCACCCGCCATTATTAACTATCACCACCCACTACCACCATCCTCAATCATAATCGCCACCACTACCAATCACTACTAGCTACTAGCATGAACCACCATCATCAACCTAAACTACCACCAACCACCGCCTCTAGTCGGCATTCACCCGTTAGCAATCACCATCAAAAACTATCATATTTTAAAAAATTATATATTTTATTGATAGAATATTAGATTAGTTAGTATTTCATTTGAATTTTATGTTTATTAATTTTCAAATAAAGATAAATTTTATACATTCAGATGTTAAAAATCAAACAGTCTTAACTATTTAGTATTTAGATCTTAATACACATCTTAATATATTCAGATGTGTATTCAGATTCAGACGTCTTAATCTTAAAAAAAAACAAATGAGGCCTTAATGTAACATGCGACTTATTTGCTATATTCACACAAGGACTGAAAGAGGATTCAAATACCTGCCTGTTCTAAGCATTAGATGCTTCAGAAACCCAGAGTGAGAGTGCACATCATATGGAGAAAGTCCCAGTTCTGGATCCCGCCAGCATCCTTGCACAGCTTCAAGAACCTAAATCACACATCATTTTTAAACAAGAAACTGCATCGTAGAAAAAAAGAAAAAAACAAAGCAAAATACTTTTGTTGAAAAGAAAACCGAATACCAAGTCAGAGTTAATTATAAGCATAATTGAAAAAGAATTGAGGAAAACATCCTGTATCACAATGTGCAAATCAGCAAACAGTACAGATGAGCAAAACAAGCCACTCTTAGCACCATTTCATTTTCTCTATTTTACCTTAGTAGGTCTCTGTTGCTGCTGACAATCTCCAAAAAAAAGTGAAAATATGCCAAATATAAGTGGTAGCTCTTGTATCCTACTAAAACCACTGTATATGAGCTAGAGGGCAGTATTTCCAGTGAAATATTTCCTTTTTCAATCATTCAGAAAATTAAAATACAAACTGATACGAGGATTGACAAGTATAAGCACTGGCTTGAACTTTTGTTTAACAGCCAAGCCCAAGAAATTTTCCCATTATTCCTATTTCCTAGAAAATATTCACCATGAACAGGAGAAAAATCATATTAGGAATCCTAATATGTCTGATATCATCTACTGGTAAAGTTAGAAGATTTCAGAATTCTCCAACTTCCTCCTCCCTGTACACCTGTGCTACCGTCAACGTCTTCTAGCTTGATATGCTAAATAATGCTGTGACTGAGTTGCTCAATTGTTCATAATCGCACCTTCAATGTTCAAGAACTTACTCTATCTCCGCCACGGACATACTAATAAGAAACTCACCTCCATACTTTCATTATGTCACCAAAGACCTCATGCATAAGGCATTGCGATACACTCTGTCCCCAATCTCTACTCTTGGACTCCATACTCGTATACAATGAAAACCTCGACTCTAGTTGCCAAATGTCCAAATCTATTTTCCTAGTACTGTTTTAATGAAAAAACTCAAAACACTTTTATCCCTAACCCCTTCTTCCACAGGAGATGCGATCACATCCCAGTTCACCAAACCAAACTTCTTTGCTTCCTCCTTTGTGTCCCACAAATATCCTATTGCAACTTCTTCAGTTTTTCGTCACAGCTTCAGGCACGGAAGACATGAAGTAGGTTGGTATGTTCGACGATGTGCTCTTTTATACCTCTTTTTTTATGATTGGATAACAAGTCGGGAGCCAACCCTTGTACCAACAGCATCCTTCGAAACTTGGGGATAATGGGCCCCCTTTACCCTTCTCCACTTAAATACTAGACTTACTTTGCTTGGCGGAGGGCTTATACACCTGTCTTTTTTCCTGAATAATTTATACCTCTTTTTTACTCTTAATTTATACCTCTTTACCCCTTTTTGGAATGTTATTTTTTACATTTTCAATTACTAAGTTCCATAATACAGAATCCTCATATGAGGATCATAATGTCAGTACTAAGTGATCCAATCTTGCATTTAAATAATATCTCAAAATGTTATTTGACTTTTTGAAGTTAGTAGTTAGGACGATTAGGGAAAGATTTCATTATTGAACCAATCTAAATGGAATGTAGGTCAAATAAGATAGGGTGGCAAGAGTTCACTAAACGAAAACCCTTCGGTTGCTGATCCCAAACTAGTTCTTATCGAATCGCTCTTTCACCCTCCCCCTCCCATGGCATTAATTTTTTTTGGAGTAACCTCCAAAAAACTAGAAGCATACACAAGAAAAGGGCGGAAATGGTCTTGAAAAGCCAACAAAGACAACCCGGTCTAAGCTCCAAAGTTGATTTATATTGGATAAATCTAAAATAGAGACACCAGGAATAAGGATGTTTTAAAGAAGCTACCAGTGGCTTGAAGCATACTAACTAGAATGTATCTATTTCTTTTTTTTAAAGCTGTAACTAGAATCATCTTTACATCTTCATGCATTTTTAAGAAGCACTATTTTGTTCGGGTTCAGTAAAGAGGTGCATACTCGTGTAGACTTATGTGAAAGAGACATGACCACTCCTCCATTCTACACTAACCAATCAAAAAACAAAAAGAGAAAAGAAAAAAATTTAGCAACGCAAAATTCTGAAATTCATACAACAGAAGAATAACGCAACTTTGCCATATTCATGATATATAGTTCAGATTGTCAAGGAATCCCCGGTGTGGAATTTTTCTTATAATGCTATATTCCCAGCTTTTAACTCTCTTCTATTTCTTGCTTCCCCATTTTCCATTCTCCCAACATGTTCTCACTGCTAATTTCCTCCATCTCTTTTTTTTGATGAAATAAATTGTTGTATTAAAAGGCATCAAGAAGATGCAAGAGTACAAGGAGCTACTTACAAGAAGTAGATATACAAAAAACAAAAGTGAGTTGCTAGCCCCTATACAATGTCTCAATCTAGGACAAGAGAGCTAATAAACTCCAAAAATTGTTCAGTACTAACTATTGAGGACAGCTTTGTCCAGCAAAAAAGATTGGTTAAACATTTTGCTTTAATGGAGTGGTTTGGAGTTGAGATGCCATCAAAACATCTTTTGTTTCTCTCATTCCATAGACACCAAAAAATAACTGCAGGTATCATAATCCAGATCTTTTTAATGGACTTATCAACTGGCCAAAGACTCCAACTCAAGTATGCGTCTCTCAGATTTTGTGGCATGACCCAACTTATCCCAAAAATACTATAGAACATGTTCCATATATCAATGGCTACGGACAGTGTAGGAGGAGGTGATTGATAGATTCCTGGTTCCTCCTGCATAGATAACATCTATTAACTAGTTGAAACCCTCTTCTGTTGAGATTATCTTGAGTTAAGCAAGCTTCATGTAGGGTTGTCCAGTTGAAACCAATGACCTTCACTGGTAATTTGGTCCTCCATATCAGCTTCCAAGGCCATGAATCAAGAACTTGATTCCGAGAATTGAGTTGCCTATAACATTCTTTGACAGTGAAACTACCCTTACTGCCCCATCTCATCATGTCCGAAGCATTTCCATCAATATTGTAAGCCTCCACTTTGGCTATCATTTCCATCAAGCTTTCAATCTCCCAGTCTTGAGCTGCTCTTCTAAAGTGCACATCCCAAGTATTGGTAGTTCTGTTTTGAGCAATTGAGGAGTTCTTGCCCAGGGCAAAGTGGAAAAGATTAGGATAGTCTTCCATAAGTGTAGAATTGTTGAGCCACTTATCTTTCCAGAATTTGATGTGTGCTCCATTGCCCGGCTTGAAATGGACATTCTAGAAAAATTCATTCCCTAACTTACTAACATACTTCCAAGGTCCTACTCCGTAGGGGGCATTGACAATTTTAGTGCTCCAATTATCATTTTCCCCATGTTTAGCATTGATCACCTTCTTCGAAAAACTTGTATCATCTGTACCATACCTCCATAACCCCTTCATTAGCAGACACTTATTTTGCATGGCAAGATCTCTGACCCCCAACCCACCATTGCACTTGGGCTACACGACTTTGTCCCACTTTACCAGATGAAATTTGTGAGAACTGTTATTCCCCTTTCATAAAAAGTCTCTCCTTAATTTGTCCAGCTTTTTTAGCACCTTTATAGGGATGGGAAACAAGGACATGAAGTAAGTAGGAATACTGTCAAGTACACTCTAATAAGAGTTATTCTTCCCCCTATAGATAGGTATTGCAACTTCCAGGAAGCCAACCTCTTCTCAAAATTTTCCACAACTCCATTCCAAATCTCACAGCTTTTGAATTTAGCTCCCAGTGGTAGGCCCAAGTAGGTACTAGGTAGTGTTCCAATACTGCACCCCATGATTTCTGCTCGGTCCTCAATGTTAAGTACATTATTGACAGAGTAGATGATACTTTTCAGTTTGTTGACATGTAGACCTGATAAGGCTTCAAAGAGAAGTAGTGTGAGATTCAAGTACATGATTTGAGTTCTATTTGCCTCACAGAAGATCAGAGTATCATCTGCGTACAATAAGTGTGATATAGTAATAGTGTTCCCAATGTTTGTACCTACATTGAACCCCTGAATCCACTGCATTTGCCTGGCCTTTTCAATCATTTTACTTAAACCCTTTGTGGCTAGTATGAACAAGAAAGGAGAGAGTGGATCCCCTTGCTTTATTCCTTTTTGAGGAGAGAAGAAGCCCACAGGACCTTCGTTCACTAAGACTGAGTACTTGACGGTAGAGATGCAATATTTGATCCACTTCAACCATTTGTCCCCAAAACACATTTTCTTCAAAATAGAAAGCAAGTAGGACCAATTAAGTTGATCAAATGCCTTCTCTATGTCCAATTTACACATCACACCAGGTTCCCCATTTTTAATCCTCCAATCCAAGACCTTATTAGCAATTAGAGCTGCATCAGTTATCTGTCTTTGTCTTTGCTTGATGAATGCATTCTGGTGAGCAGACACCAGCTTTCCTACAACTCTCTTCAATCTTTCTGCCAACAGCTTGGCCACAATCTTGTATACACTACCAATAAGGCTAATTAGTCTATAGTCCCTAAGTTCAATAGCATCATTTTTTTTTGGAATCGGAGCAATAAATGAAGCATTGCATGATTTCACCATGTAACCTTGTTGATGTAATTGATTAAGTGCAACCATGATCTCTGGTCTGATAAAATCCTATGACTTCTGGAAAAAAGCCATAGTGAAGCCATCTGGTCCTGGGGCCTTATCAGGGGAACATGACTGAATGATGGCATGTACTTCTTCTTCCTCAAAGCATTGCTCTAGCGTCTCTCTCTTTCTTCTTCTGATAGGCTGGCAACATCATCAAAGCTGGAAGTTGGTCTCCACTCTTCATTTTCTGTAGAGATTCTGGTAGTAGTTCAAGATCTCCTTCTTGATCAATTCTTTATCATCTGTAATCTCATCGCCTATCTTGAGCTTGTAAATAGAATACCTCCTATATGAGTTGGCCATTATATGGAAATATCTAGTATTCTTATCCCCTTCTTTTAACCACAAGCATCTAGATTTCTGCCTCCATGAGGTTTCTTCTGCTTTAGCAATCTTTTCCAACTCCATTTTCAGAGCTAAGAACCTTTGCTTTTCAAGCTGGTTAGGAGCTCTGTTTTCTATTGCCTGCTCTAAAACTGACAGCTCATCTAGCGCTCTGCTTCTCCTCGTGTCTAGCTTACCAAAGACTTCCCTATTCCAGTTGGTAAAATCTTTTTTCAAGCACCTCAGCTTCTGGATGAGTACAAAATCTGGACTGCCACCTATTGTATAGTTCTGCCACCACCCCTTCACCATATCAATGAATCCTTCTTGTTGCAACCACATGTTTTCGAACTTGAAATAAGATGGTGTTGTGTCCCATTCTCCACTTTCTAACAATAAAGGTTTGTGATCTGAAATAACTCTTGGAAGAGCCAATTGCTTGACAACATTGAAGCTTTCATTCCATTCTAGAGAGACTAAGAATCTGTCGATCTGTTGGAAAATGTCCTCCCCTCTTGACCAGGTATATTGAGCCCCTTGTAGAGGCAAGTCCATTAGCTGCAGGTCCACAATTGTTTATGAGAAGCTCTTCATAGCTTTGGCCCTTCTAGTACAATTCAACCTCTCAGATTCGAACCTACAAGCATTGAAATCCCCTCCTACGACCCACTGATCACCGCAAATCCCTCTTATTGCACCTAGTTCCTGCCAAAACACCTCCCTCTCTATAGTGTTGTGAGGTCCATATACACCTGTAAAACCCCATCTAAAATCTTCATGTAAGCTCTCAAGGAAGCAAGTCATTGTGAAGCAACCTTGAAGAGAATCAATACACCTCCACATTCTCTTATCCCACAAGATAAGAATACCACCCCTAGTGCCACTAGCCTTCAAAATTCTGCCCAATCTACCCACCTATTCCCCCAGATTTGGTAAATCATAAAAGTTGGAATGCTCTCCATTTTGGTTTCTTGGGAGACACATGATGTCAGCTTTCCATTTTCTAACTAGAGATACAAGCGTACTCCTTTTATTTTCCTTGTTCAGACCGCAAATGTTCCAGCTAAGAATTTTTACTTTCATGAGGACATATTCTTGCCATACCTACCCCTATCCCTTTTGTTTCTTCCCTCATAGTTGATATTGCAATTAAATTTGAACCTCTGTACCACCTTTTTTGATCCATTCTGGTAATTAAATCGAAAATTTCATGCTCAAACCCCACTGTATTGACCCCAAATGCCTTGCAAACTTTTCCATAACCAATTTGGTCCACTTGGAGGTTTCTATTGTTGTAGGTTGCTGAATACTCTGTTGGATTCCATGAACTTCCAATTGCTCTCCTTCATGCCATGGTAAAGGAAGTGCCTCAGTGTAGGAATCAGATTCTGAGCACATTAAGGCAGTAGAAGCAACTTCTGACCAACCCCGTTGTTGAGGAAGACCCCTAAGGTTGGCCAAAAGAGATTCTGCTTCATCATCAGCTTCATCAGCTGCTTCCAGATATGTTTCAGCAGTTGCATGCGGCAGGGATTCATCAATTGACTTCGTGGCTTGAGACTGGTGAGAGAAAATAGAAGAAGGTGCAGCAACGATGACTTTAGGACAAGGGTCCATCAATAAACCTTTAGCTCGCCACTCCTGAATAAAATTGGGTTTGATTGGCTTGGCCTTCTGATGGGCTTTCTTTTTTGGGTCTTTGTAGTAATTAAAATTTTGGCCCACCACAGGTTCTTTAATAACTCCTGAACTGCTACCAATATTGGGCCTGATCTGGCTTGTGGCCCGTGAATTGAGAAGGCTGGGAAATGGGCCCAAGAGATTTGAATTAAAGTTGCCCTTGGACAGTTGTCCCTCCAGGTGTCCCGAATTCACGTAACCCTCATCAGCTTTCCCCAAACTCAACGCCGGTGATGACCCAATCCCTGTTGCAGCTGTCCTCCATCTCTTATCAATATCTAGGAAAAGTTTCCTCACTTTCTTCATCCGCCTCAAATCCCCCAGTTCATTTTTTCGAGGTGGGGAGTGGGGGCGGCGGGAGGGAGGTAAAGAACATCCTTTCATGTTTGATGTTTCCCGCCTGCTTATTTCCTCCCTACAATATGCACCAGCACTGCTTCCAGTACAATGGTACAGTGCAGCACCAGATTGGTCCACTCACCAGTTCACTTCACCCCCGTCACCACTAAGCCTTAGATCCATGCTACAATACAGTTCAAAAAGTAATTTATTCCAGGCACCAGAAAAACTGTAAGTGAGTCAAAAGACCATGTACAAGAGAAAAAGAGACATTTGGCCTCTATCAACCTAACTAGTTTCAGAAAGCACATACCATACCTCATTGCCGGAATCACTTTGCAGTAAGCACTTATTCACATTTAAAATCTTATCAAAACAGCCAGGGGCATGCAGACCCAAAGCATAGCGAGAGCCCTCTGTATCGTCTTGCAATTGTTCAGCAGGTACCCAGCCCTTTGCGCCAAACGAGAACTCCATCTGCATCACAAAGCAGAAAAATAAAGTAAAGGATCCATTGTTTATTAACTCTTAATTGTTTTTGGTCATTCTATTTCCCCTATAACTTTCTGAATGTAAGGACTATTATGCTCATATAAGACCATCATAAGAAGACAAGACGAGTGGGTGAAACAGAAAAAGAAAAGAAAAGATAAAAGCACAGTGCTATATACACATACCCGGAGATTATTGACCTCAAAGAAAACAATTTATTTTTCTGAAATTTACAAGAAAAATTAAAGTGGATTTCTGTAATTTGACTCAAGCTAACTGATATTAAACCACAGACACTATTGCTAAGAAAAGTTCCAACACCTTTCTACACCACCCGAATCTTTAATTACCTAGGTCTCCCTAAAATTAGCTCCCAGCACTTCTAACTTTAGCAAATAACAACTTCATTTTTTTCTTTCTCTAATGTTCTTGAAAGGCTCTTCTAACTTTATTTCATTTTGAGTTTTGAGTAAATTATGCCCTAAGAAGGTAGCCTAGAAGTCGAAGAATTGTAGCAATAACTTTGGTAATGAGGTTCGGATTCCAACAAAGGTGATAGAGTGAATTCTTGCCATCTGTCTAGAATTTGGTGGGTAGACTTATTTGATATTCTACTAATGAGAGGTAGATGGGTTAGTCAGGGTGCACAAACTAGCCCGAGCACCACCATAAGAAAAAAGATAAATAATTTAGGTTAATTTGGAAATAATTTAATAACCTAATGCATTACAGATTAATCAACACTGCATTCAAGCATGTGGAATTCTTTTGGTAACTACGCCCGAATTCCAAGCAAGCCAGGTTTGGCTATATAAAGTCTCACAGATCATACCCCGCCATTTATGATCATCCTAGACCCATATTATACAAATTAAAAATAAGAAGAATAAGATAACGAGTACTAGAAGTTCTCTATATTTTCGATTGGCATATAAATCTCTGATAGAACTAAAAGAATCCTAGAAAGCATAAGGCCTAACGTAAACGTACTAACATATTCCAAACTAATTGGTTCACCTATCCCCAAAAAGATCTTTCTGTTCTACTATGCCCGAATTTTCGCTAGGTCTATGTGGATTCCAAGAGATTGTAGATCTTTCAAGTCGAGACACCACCAAAAAGAAAACCACCCTAGTAATGCTGTGTTAGATTCCATTATTAGTAACAGTGAGCAGAAGTTTACGTCAACATTTAAGCAATATCCAAATTGTGAATATAGGGAAATCCTCTACTGACCTTATTCCTATAGTGAAATTGGATATCACAAGGAACAATGGGTTTCATAGCATCAGCAAATACTGGCTCTCGATCAGAAAACTTGCCCACGTGTACAACCAGGTCGCGCACTTGTTGCTCCTTGGCCCTGAGCTGAGCTTCATACGACAAGCTCTGCGTCTTGCAACCTCCACAATGCGAAGCATGTTCACACGGTGCTTCAACATAGTCCAAATGCCGTGTTAAGGTTTTCAATTTCTTCACCTGCCATCCTTATCAACCAGCATAACATCAATCAACAAATTGGGTACAAGTACTAAAAACATTTCCAATAAATTTCGCCTATACTATCCACGCCAATCTAAAAGCAAGCTAAATAACTTAAAAACAAAATAATAAGTATAAACGTCGTATATATAGAGATAAACGAGTAATGTAATTAATCAGACTTGAATTAAAGGAGAAAAAAGCAGACACCTCGGCATAATTCTCTCTTTTGCGAGTGACACGGCCAATAAATCGTTCTCCAGGGAGTGCTCGATCACACATGAGTACAAATCCAGTGTCAGCAACTTTGCAAACGCCTTTTCCTTTAAAAGCAAGGGATTCACATACTAATTCTAATGTTTGCCCTCGCTTTGGAAAATAAGGCTTCTTCGACTTGTCATTGTTGTTGTTGTTACTAGTACTAGGAACCGTTTCCTGTACCATTTCCTTGGAATTTACGTTCAATTGAATGTCCTCGGTATCTTCAACGGGGGAAAGAGAAGCGAGAGTAGTGAATGAATGTGAACGTACTGATGCAGTTGCTGTTCGAGTTCGGAGTTTGTGCAGCCATTGATTAGAGGGTAGAGAGCGAAGGCTGAAGGTAGCCGTCGCCGCCATTTTCAATCGGACTAACTGTTAAACCATAAGGCGTCGGGAAACAAGCCCGACTCCGAGAGCCGATGTATTTGGAGGTTTTAAGGATAGGGTGGCTAATGAGAAAATGACAAAATGGTCCCTTTTGTTTCGGATCGGCTATAATTTATCCCTTAAATATATTACTGGTCAGTTTTGGTCCTTTTAAGTTTGACGAATTTGAATTCTTATACCATGGATTGGGCTTTATGCCGACTGCCATATAGGCCCATTTTCCGGTAAAGCCAGCTCGAGAACAATGATTGGGCTTTCGGCGTATATTTGGAAAAGCCTTGGTGGAGATTGAACAGTGTTTCAACGTTTAAGCAAGCTCTTTGAATGTGAAACAACAAGTTACACATTAGACTGATCGGTCAAAAATAATTATTTTTCCTAGCTAAATATACAAAATATATGTATATTATACATTTATATTCAAAAAATATAAAGTTTTTTGCTATCATTTTTAAAGCCACTATACTGCATAGTAATAGCCTAATAAACACTTCTATTTGTCCCACTTTGTCATTCCGGCCCCGATATTCTACCAAGTTTCATTCAGACATTCGTAGTTTTTAAAATACATTACTTTAAACCCCTCCAGCCTCGTGTGTTCTTCAACACACGATGTGGATGACACATCATAGTCCACATCAGATTTTAATGACACGTCATTCTTTTTTTTTATTTTAATTTCAAAATTTTAATTTCTTCCTTTTTTCACCTCACTCCTCCCCACCCTTGACCACCTATCTCTATTTTTTAGAGCATAAACAACACCATTGTTTTACCGCCTTTATCGGCGACGACACCACAATGGATAACTAATCGCCCTACTAAAATACACAATCGGCAATCTCCGTTCTGACGGCGGCGGCAGGGTCAAATTTTCCTAAGAGGGTTTATGCAGTGATCTGAGCAGGGAAAAGCAATTTGGTTTTTTGTTAGTTTACATGGACAAATGGGAAAAGCAATTTGGTTTTTGGTTTTTTATTCAAATACTTTACATGGACAAATGGTTTATGATTCTCGGGAAAAATGGCTTATAATATTGTGTTATGAAATATCAAATATAACTCCCATTACTCTTCTCCATGATGTAGATAATCCTTACTATTTCTCACCATTATAGTTGTAACTCTCATACCTTCTAACCTCTCCCATGATCTTTCCCATGTTCTCATAGTTAATACCATGTCCATGACATCCCTTTGTATTAACTCAATGTTATCCTATAAATAGAGGGTTTGGGTATCACATTGTACACACTTAACTACATGCAAGAAATAAGAATCTCTCCTCTCTTTCTCTCTATATCTCTTATCTATTTGCTTGTTTTCTTTAAGCTTAGTTTCTTAACAAGTTATCAACACAAATTGCTAATTTTATTGCCATTGTTAGAATAATAATAGCGGGGCAAGAACAACATTAGCATACATGTCAACGCAGCGGAAGAATTGTTGAACTCACCACCGAAACAATTGCCCCAAACCGAACTTTGAATCACTAGAAAACAAAGTTAATCTTACACCAATTAGATGCCCTTACTTGTGTGTGTTTTTCGTTGGGAGAAGAAGAGAGTCAGAGAAAATTCTTACAATTCTCAGTTCTATATTGTCTCCTTCACATAAATAGGCAGAGTAATAGCGGTTAAGGAAGATAACTCACCACTCACTCTTTTTTTGTACGTTCAATTTAGTGGAGTTTGTGGTCTAGTGGTAACTTCCCTTAATCTCTCTCCCTTTATATCTCCTAACCGGGTCGGGTCAGCCCACATGGAGCGACCCATGACCCATAATCCAACATCTCCCACTTCGCTCATAGTGGGCTAGCCGATGTCTTTGATACACTTTTCATACTAGCAAATAGTTGGTGCGACCTGCAAGCACAAAGAGTTGTAAAATTCCAAAACCAATTAAAGGTTGTACTAAAGTTCTATGTAGAAATCCAATCACATATGGAAAGGATTCACTAATAGCATAAGGATATTATTACTCGCAATACCCCAGACATCATTCGTTATTGCAGTAGCTTCTCATTCGATCCCTCATCCTCGAAAGAGGCAAACTCGAGTTCTCATATAACATTGTATCCACAATTACACCCAATACCCTCATGATAAGTGTAATGGTTGACCTATGAATACAAGTTAAATTACTAAATTTTAGTCGTCTTCCCTTTCTACTCAAATATTTCCATTCCAAATCAACTGCTTTCCTAGACATGCACTGCATTGCCGAATCAATCATGGCTATTAGTGGTATGCTAAAGTAGCAACACTGATTGGCATTTCAAGAGACAGTATAAGGTTAAAGGGTATTTCAATAAAAGTTAATCTAACTTCTTTGGGATCTCACACAATGAAGAAGTAGGGATTCATTCTTCCATTATCCCATGGTCGATAGCACACGTGGTATGAAACACATGTCATGGTGTTCTCACTTTATATTGGTGCGTGTGTCTTATTATTTTAATCATCCAAAACCATACAGATCTTGGTCTAGACACCTTCAAGTGTCTAACCCGAGTTTCTCACTTCAATAATCCTCAAACCATCTTCTTAGAGAAACTCGTATCTGGCTTACAAAACAAGTCATAATCGAATGGTGAAATTCGTAAGCTGTCAAGAATGACCTCTACTAGTAAATATAACCCCGCATTATCTAAGGTTCTATGATATCTCATCTCTTCACGATCTTAACGCAAGAGGTGATTGCTCGTGTGAGAGAGCCAATCTCGCGACTTGTTCGACACACTTTATCAACAAAATATTCATCACATGCATATGAGATATAGCAAAATTCAAGAGACAAATATTGATGAGCATATTATAATACTAAAGTCATTTTACAATACATAAATATGTTCATATCCTTCGCAAACCTAGAGCCACAACATGTTTCTCAAACAGGTCTCTAGATATCGACTTTGTAAAAGGATCAGCTATCATGCTTCGCGTAGAAATGTACTGTAAATTTATCTCTCCACTTGCTACCATGTCTCTTATAAAGTTATACTTGATATCAATGTGTTTGGTCTTGTTGTGATACTTAGGATCTTTTGTATATGCAATAGCCGTTTGGCTATCACAATATAGAGTCATGGCACCTTGAGAGTTCTTTGCAATATCCAAATACTCAAAGAATCTCTTCAACCAAACAGCTTCTTGTACTGTAGACGCACAAGCCACTAACTCAGCTTCCATTGTTGAAAGGGTTGTACAGGTTTGTTTCTTACTTTTCCATGATATAGAACCACCATTAAGTAAGAAGGCATAACTGGACGTTGATTTTCTATCATTCCAATCACCAGCCCAATCATCATTTTTGTATCCTCTCGAGTATAAATCATTTCCACTATAACTTAGTGAATAATCTGCAGTTCCCTTCAGGTATCTGAAAATTTTCTTCACTCCTTTCAATGATCTCTTCCAGGATTGAATTGATACCTGCTAACCAGACCTACGGCATAACAAATGTCTGGGCGAGTACACATCATAGCGTACATCAAGCTCCCGACAACGCTTGAATATGGAACTCGAGACATGTCTTCCTTTTCATTTTCAGTCTTGGGACACATTTCAAGGCTTAAAAATTCACCTCTCGCTATAGGAGTATCCATGGATTTGCAACTATTCATGCGAAAACGCTCCAAAATTTTCTTTATATAAGTTTCTTGAGATAAACTCAATAACTTTTTGGAACGGTCTCTTTGGATCTTAACTCCAAGGATATAATCTGCCTCGCCCATATCTTTCATGTCAAATGACTTTGAAAGCCATGACTAGATAGTTTTTACATACTCCAAATTGCTTCCGGCTAATAAAATATCGTCCATATAAAGGGAAAGAATAACAAACATCCCATTGGACTTCTTCACATAAATGCAATTGGTCTTCATCAATCATGGTGAAATCATATGAGATCACCTCCTTGTGAAATCTCAAATACCATTGCCTTGAAGATTGCTTCAGGCCATAAATAGATCTTTTCAATTTACAGACCTTCTTTTCTTGGCCTTTAACAATGAAGCCTACAGGTTGTTCCATGTAGATTTCTTCATTTAGTTCTCCATTGAGAAAAGCTGTCTTCACGTCAATTTGATGTAATTCCAAATCCAAATGTGCAACAATAGCCAAAAGTAAGCGAATTGAGGTAAACTTCACAATTGGTGAAAATGTTTCCTCATAATCTATTCCCACTTCTTGAGTAAAGCCTTTTGCCACCACTCGTGCCTTGTATCTTTCTATTGACCCATCCGCTTTGCATTTAACTTTGAGAACCCATTTGTTCCTAATGGCTCTACGCCCAGGTGGAAGATCAACTAGATCCCAGATTTTGTTGGTTTTCATGGACTCTAATTCTTCTTTTATTGCTTTTATCCACGCATCTTTTCCAAGGCTCGATAAAGCATCAGTTACAGAATTTGGTTCATCCATTTCTGTGGGAGATACCAAGAAAATATAATCTTCAATTTCATAAGTACGTTTGGGTATATTTTTCCTAAAACTCTTTCGTAGTTGAAATTCAGGTTCGTCATAAGGATTTTGGGATTGAGAGTTCCCACTCCCACTCGGATCAAGAATGAGATCTTGATCAATTTGATTATCAACTATGTCAGACGACACTTGCTGACTATCCGAGTTCAACATTTCATAAAGAGGCTCTTTATTCTTTACCCCACCCTTCTTTTGAAAATCATTTTCCAGAAATGTGACATCTCGTGATTCAATCTTACTAACACTTCCATCCTCTAATTCAGCAATGAACACATACCATTTGGGGTGTTCTGAATATCTTATAAAGATACATTTTTTTGCCTTTTGGACCTAATTTATCAAACTTGCTAAAAGAATCTTTTACATATGCAGCACAACCCCAAGGTCGTAAATCCTTTAAGTTTGGTTTATTACCAGTCCATAGCTCATAAGGAGTGGAAGAAACTAGTTTAGAAGGCACTTTGTTCAATATGTAAGTTGCAGTCAATAACGCATCTCCCCAAAAGGAGATAGATAAATTTGCATGCACCATCATGGACCTTATCATGTCCAGTAGTGTTCTATTCCTCCTTTCTGCTACACC